GAGAGAGAATCATGTAGCCTGGGCTAGCAAAGGATGACCTTGAACTCCTGATCTTTCTGATTCCACCTCCTAAGTGCTAGGACTGCAGGTATGCACCACCACCCTTGGCTTTACATATATTTAAAAAGCATTTTTATTGATTCAAGAATTTCATACAATATATTTTGATCATATTCAGACACCCCCACCCCCACACACTTCATGCCCTCTATTATCATGTCTTTATTTTAAAGGCCTATTGAGTCTATGGTTCCAAAAGTGCTCTTGAGTGTGGCTCTATCCCTTGGAGTCGGGTCAAGTCACCAGGTGACGCATCAGTAAGGAAAACTGACTCTCCCTTTCTCAGCAGCTCTCAACTGCCAAAAGATCCTCACCTAGGGCTGGGGCTTCTTGCCCACCTCTCCCATCAACGCTGGGTTTTTGTCTAGCTTGGGTTTGCACAGGAGTTGTGTGTGCCACCACAAGTACTGTAGGTTCTTATGCACAACTACTCTGTGGTGTCCAAACACCAGTTTCTGTGTATTCATTTACCACCTCTGGCTCTTACAATCTTTCCTCACAATGATCTGAATATTGGGATGAGAGGGTATTAACTTTTTTTTTTTTGTATATCAATGTGTGTGGTATGCATCTATGTATGTGGAGGCCAGAGGCTGATATCTGGTCTTTCTTGATCACTCTACTGAGGCAGTATCTCCTTCTGAACCTGTAACTAGCCAATTCAGCTAGTCTAGCTGGCCAGCTTGCCCCAGGGAACCCATGCCTCTGCCTTTTATGTGGGTGGTGGGGATCTGGGGATCTCAACTCTGGTCCTCATGTTTGCATGGCAAGTACTTTGTCCACTGAGGCATTTCACCAGCCCCTATTTAAGGCATCTTTAAAAACAAAAAATGCCTCTATATATCCTTCAATGCCTCTGGGAGTCTATTCCCCAATTACAATTCAAAAGGAATAGCAGACATTCAATAAACAGTTGCTATTAGGTGAAAAGCGTACAGCCAGGCATGGGTGGTAGAGCACGCCTTTGATACCAGCACCCAGGAGGCAGAGGCAGGTGGATCTCTGTGAGCTCAAGGCCAGCCTGGTCTACATAGTGAGTTCCAGGCCAGCTGGGGCTACAGGGAGACCCTGTCTCAAAAAAGACATACTTTAAAAAAAAAAAAAAAAAAAAAAAAAAGAGTATACCAACCTAGCAACTGACAGTTCTTTAAGGTATGCATGGCCCTGGGCTTTCACAACTGAGACAGATGATAGACTCACCTCACTTTTGTACTGGTCCCTCTCAACGATGCATTTGTCCAGCTGTCTAAACACGTCATCAAGCTGCACAGCCATGTCATCCATTTCACTTTTACTCTCACTGCTACAACACTGGCTGCATTCAGCCTTCACGTGTTGCAGAGCACTACATTGTTTCTTGAGCCTTTCTATTTCCTCCAAAGCTTGCTGATACTGAGATCCTACATGGTCTGGACTTTCAGATTTACCATTAACACTTTCAAGTAAAAATACAGCATCAGTTTCAGTAGATTGGTGGCACGTTTCCTTCTTCACATATTTGTCATTCATCTCTAGTATCTTTTGTTGCAACACTCTGATTTGATCAGTAAACGTATGGCACTGCCTCTTATAATTATCTTTTTCTTGTGTGACTAGAAGTAGCTCATTTTTCAGTTGCTGTAATTGACAGCCAACATCATCTGCAGACTTTTCCAAGGCTTCCCGAGTTTCCTGTATCTTTGCCTCAGCATCTACACTGGAGGACAGTATTGCTGTACCATTTGCTGCACCTATCTCATCTTCAATAGCTTCTTCCTTTTTAACAATTAAACTTGGTGCTTCAGTCTGAGTGGAAGCAGAGGTGCCCTGATCACACCTGGATGTTGAGGTGCTTGTTGAACTAGTCTGGCCACAAGGTTCAGTATTGCCTGTAAGTTCAACCTGAACACTACTTTGTTCAATGTGACTCTGTTCTGATTTAACTTCAATATCAAGGTCTACTGAGGGTTTAGGAGTACTATTTTCTTCTAAGATGATGACATCTTCATCATCATCATTTTTGTACGATGAATTTTCAAATGCAGGATTACTTATTCTTCGATTCTTTGCATTCAAAATTGATGAACGAGTACAAAGTCTCCGTTTCAGGCTGGAAGAAATTTTATAAATAAAATGTGAGATGATTAAAACATGGGCATGACAAAGTATATCCTATATTACTTTTCTTGTTGCTGTGATAAAATACCCCACAAAAGCAATTCAGTGACAAAAGCTCACTTGGCTCACAATTTGAAGGTACATGTTATCATGGCAGGGAAAACACGGCAGCAGAAGGCTCCAGGGAGCCTGGAGTTTGCAGCTAGGACTCCATAGATACTGCTTGGCAGAGCAGGCCACAGAGAAGGCAAGAGATGGGCCAGGCTACAAAAACCTCAAGGCGTACCTCACAGCTATCCACTTCCTCTAGTGAGACATCACTTCCTAAAGGTTCCACAACCTTCCAAAACAGTGCCATTGGGAACCAACTGTTTAAACACATGAGCCTATGCAGGAATTTCACAATTCAAACCAGAACTTTGAAGTAACCCCTCTAACAAATGCACTACTTTAATAATCTTAAAAAATTATTTTGAAACTCTAAGAAATGTTCATCTTTATTTTGAAAAAATAACACTTTTCAGTACTTTCATTGAATTAATGATGTAAATTACTTCCTCCTTTTACAGAGCAGGAAATAATTGACTATTGAGAGCCCTTTAAAGATCAGTTGTCTCTACTGACAATCATTGCTTCCTATATGGCCTTCAAGCACTGGAAGCAATAACACAAATGGGAAGTCAGACACACAGACCCTTTCCAGTGATCATGAGGAAATAGCACTTATCTTTTTATCTGGCCATCATAATTTCTGCCAACAGTTCAAAGAAAAGCCATGAAGCTTTATTTCCCTATCATTTCATATAAAACAATTCTCCCTGAATTAAATTTTGACTTGGGGCTGGAGAGATAACTTATTGGGTAAGAGTGTTTGCTGTGCAGGAATGAGGCCTTGAGTTCAAATCCCTAGTACCCATGTAAAAAAGCTGAGCATATATCTACAACCCCAACACTGGGGTGGAGAAAGGTAGACTGCAGGCACTTCACTTGACAGCTAGACAGCAAACTTCAGGTTCAGCGAAAAACCTTGTCTCAAGTCAGTAAGGCGGGGAGGGATAGAGCAAGACACCCGACATCTTCCTCGCACATTGTTTCATTTTCCCTGGGATTACCAGTGTGGGCTACCATGCCCAGCTTTATGTGGTGCTGAGGCATCAAACCCAAGATCCCATGCATGCTAGGCAGGTACTCCTAACACTGAGCTGCAGCCCTAGGTCTCTTATTCTTCTTACGTTGAGACAAGTTATCCAGCCTTGCCTAGACCTCTCAACTCTGTAGCCCCAGCAGGCCTTGAACTAATGACCCTTTTGGCTCAGACTTCCAAGTAGCTGGGATTATAGTCCTATGCAACCAAACCCACCTAAGTGATAACAAGCTGATCAAACCACACTATACCATAACATAAAAACTATAACATATGTAAATAAAATTTGGGTGGCTTTTTTTTTGAGTCTCATGTATTCCAGACAGGCCTAGAACCCTTTATATAGCACTGAAGATGAGCTTGAACTCCTGATCCACCTGCCTCCACCTCCTGAGTGCCAAGGTGACCAGTGTATGCTGTGATACCTGGCTCAGTTAATCTTTTTTTAGCTAATTTCAATGGGTTGAAGAAGAGAAGAGGAAAGCAATGTGCTCATAAAACGTTTTACATTCCTGTGAACTAATTTCTTAGAACTGCATTATCACCATGGAAATGTCACGTGAAACTCCACTCACTCCTCCACAAATGGTAAAACATCTTAACCACTACTAACCTGTTGCTCTCAGGTTCAGACTGAGGTGAAACTCGATGGTTATTTATGAGCCTTGTTGCAAAGGAACTCCCCACTTCTGGAAGATGTGCTCTTGGTACACTTTCCTTCACAGAAGAAAAGCTTTGATTTGGAATAGGAGGTGTCCGAAACAACAGGTCAACATTTATCTGTTGGGGGTAAAAAATGGACCTTAAAGAAATCATTTTAACCACGTGGTGGCGCACACCTTTAATCCCAGCACTTGGAAGGCAGAGGCAAGTGGATTTCTGTGATTTCCAGGCCAGCCTGATCTACACAGCGAGTTCCAAGCCAGTTAAGGCTACAGGGAGACCCTGTCTCAAAAAGGCAAAAAAACAAAAACAAAAACAAAACAGAAATCATTTTAATGTAACATGCACAAAACACAAGACATGTATATGTATGTATATATAGGTATATAATTTCTTTTCCTCTTATCCTTGAAAACACTGAGAAGTATCCTAAGCATGAAATTCCCTGTGCTAATCAGGGATGGACAAAGGAGCAATGAACCAATCTAGCCTGTAAAGAGGCTAAGGATGCTCTTCGATTTCTATCTATCTCACTATTTTTTGAGGGGTGTGTGTGTATATTATTTGTACTCCAGCTGTGGAAGAGAGGAGCCAGTGTTGGGTGTCTTCCTCAGTTACTCTCCACTATATTTTTGTTTGTTTTTCATTTATTGAGACAGGGTCTCCCTGCAGTGCCACTTGGCCTGGAACTTGCTATGTAGAACAAGCTGGCCTCTCTGGCCTCAATCTCAGAGATCCGCCTGCCTCTGCTTCCTGAGTGCTGGATTAAAAGCGTACACCACTATGCCCAATTCCACCAAACTTTTTGAGAGGGGATTTCTCACTAAACCTGGAGCTTGCCCATATGACTAGATGGCTGCCAATGAGCTTCTGGGATACATCTGTCTCAGCCTCCCCAGCACTAGTTAGAGACATATACTACCAGCTTCTACCTGGGTGCCAGGGATCTTTATGCTTGTGTGGCATGTGCATTACCAACTGAGCCATCTCCTCACCGTGACCCTGGTTTAATATTTCTAAAGGTTATGAATAAAATAAATGTACAACAGAGACTGTAAGTGGCCCAAGGCAAAAAAAGACCCTAACATACAGGACTTAAAACATAAAATAAGGGCTGGAGAGATGGCTCAGTGGTTAAGAGCACTGGCTGTTTGCAAAAACCCGGATTCAAGTCCCAGCACCCACATGATGGCTACAACCATCTGTAACTCCAGTTCCAGAGGATCCGACACCCTCTTCTGGCCTCTGCAGGCACTGCACGATACAGGTGCACTTGACACACATGCAGACAATACACTCACTTCACATAAAATAATAAATAAAAATAAATTTTAAAAAATTATCCCCCCCCCGAATGAATTTCGGGGAGAGGGCGGGAGAGGTGGCTCAGCGGTTAATAGCACTGGTTGCTCTTGCAGAGGACCCAGGTTCAATTTCCAGCACCCACACGGCGATTCACAACAATCCGTAACTATAGCTCCAGGGGAATCTGATGCCTTCTTCTGACCTCTGTGGGTATTGCATAACACGGGTACACTTACACACATGCAGGAAATACATTCATACACATAAAATAAAAATAAAATATTAAAAAAGGAAATTGGGGGGCTGGAGAGATGGCTCAGTGGTTAAGAACACTGGTTGTTCTTGCAGAAGACCTGGGTTCGAATCCCAGCACCCACATGGCAGCTAACAACTGTCTATAACTCCAGTCCCAGGGGATCCAACAGCC